AACAGCCCACCAAAGTGGTCCCCTGAACCTCGAGGTCGTTTGACATGAGACAAAGATAAACGTACCGCTATCTTTGAATTCCACGCCGTAGACAGTTCAAGTCTGAGTCGGAAACCGACTGAATTTGCTTAGGACAAGAGCAGACGGCATTCAATTGAGTAAATAGCCAAGCAAAACTTGGCGAATCAAAGGGGATCATGCGGCCTCCGCCGCCTGCTTTCTCTACTACTCAATCAGGGGCATAGATGGATCAAATCTCAAGATTTATCCAGAGCCTATCCTTAAAGAAAAAAAAAAAAAAAAAAAGTCTAAGAACCGCCTGTTTTCTGAAAAACAGGCGGTATCAGACCACCTATTCTTTAAGGCCAGGGTAACCGCCTCTTTTTTTGGAGAAAAAATGGCTCCTGACCACCAACCCTTCGCGCAAGTTAAAAATCGCTTGTTATTAAGTAATAAAGTAATAGTCGCCCTATTTGGGTATAATAACCAAGCAACACTTGGCAAATAAAGGGGAAACGAGTGGCCATAGCCGCCTGTTTCTTCTAATTACTCAAAACCGTGGCAGATATTGGGAACCTAAATGGCAAAAATTAAGCCACCTGTTCTTTAATAAACAGCCGGCATTTGGCCCCCTGATTCCCAACCTAGGGGGTTTGACTAAAGCCACCTATCCTTGATCAAAACAAGCGGCTGTCGACCACCTTTTCTACGAGAGAACAAGCGGCCCCTACTACATTTACTAGGATTAAAGTCACCTGATTCCTAACCTAGGGGGTGTGGCTACAGCCAAGCAGGAGGCGGCCGTCCACTTTTTCTATTAAAACATGCGGCCTATTCTTTGAATAGACCATGCTAAGTGAGAAATTGACTCAAGTCATAGTCACCTTATTCTAAGGAATGTGATTTAAGCCGCCTGTCTTCGTTCCAAATAGGAGGCAGCCGACCGTTTTTATCTACGAAGTCGGTAGTCTAGATTAGCAACTGTTCCAAAACAGGCGTCCAAGAAGACAGGCTACTGATGCATCAAGTAGACTATCAAAACTTGGTTTTTTGTGCGTATGAATAAAGCTGAATATCCGCCTGTTTAGTGCTCGACTGGACGACTGGTCTTGGGTGAAAACTCATCCTCATAAAACCAGTCGCCCATCCACCCAGGGGCAATAACATTCGGCATAAAACGCATTCATAAAAACTGAAAGGGCTAACCATACTTAGCAAAATTAGCAACATGCAATAATTCAAAGAAAAACCGACAAAACTGCTGGGTACTTGATTAATTTAGCCGACCTAAAGGCCGACTAAAAGAGTTGACATTGTTGTTACAACCCTGACCCCTTGGTTGGGTAAATGAAACATGCGGCACGCAGGCCGAAGAAAAGTTGACAAAAAACTTAAAAATCTAAGCAGGAGGGCGTGCATCAACAGCCGCCTGGTCTAGACCTTCGGACCTAGACCTGGACGTCTACTCCTTTTCAGCATTCACCCCCTCCTGTGCCGGCTCCTCCTCGCCATCCGCCTCTTCCTCTTACTCCGACTCCCCAACAGTGGAGTCGGATTCCTCGCCCTCGGCGTCCTCATCGCCGCCTGCCTGCCCCATAATCTGTTTGTTGTATTCATCAGAGCAGACGGCGAATTGGCTCTCCCATTTGTCATAGCCAGTGTCAGGGAAGAGGGCGGCTCATGTCATCTTCATGATTTGCTAGGTGAGGTCCGCCTCTTGTTTACCCAGGCGGTCCTTGAGCCTATCGACCCGCTTGCGGAGTTCCTCGGCATCTTTCTCCGCCTTCTTTAGAGGCGCCATCTCCTCTTTGAGGTCATGGACGGATTTCTCAAGCTCCTGGATTTTCTTCCTGGCCACCTCTAAATCCTACTTGACCTGCAAAGTGGCCAACGCCTGATAATACAGAATCTCAGTGGTCAGGACCTCGTTTTGTGCTATTTGAAACATAGCTTTATCAGAGTTAGAGGCAGCCATTGCCTTCGCAGCTTTTACCTCTTTGTTTTTGCCATTGATGGGCTTGCGGAGGCCGTATACTCGCAGCATGGACTGCAGTCAGCCAAAAGAGCAGTCGTCAGCAAAGCAGGCGACTGGGTATATGAAAAGGACAATATAAATTCTGCTAAGTATACCTCGGCGAGAAGGGCGAGGATGGCCTCGAGGTTAAGAGAGTCGAATCCCTTCACAGCGTCCCTATCCTCGGCAGGGATGGCCTTCAACATGGCCTTGGCCATTTGAACCAGATCAGGCTCCTCAGGGGCGCCTCTTAAAATCACTCTTGGTTAGTAAAAACAAGTGAAAACAAGCCACCTGTTTTCAAGAAAAGGCGGTCACTCAACACAGTTGGGAAAATTAAGGGTTACCTCTAGTTGCCTCCCTGTCTCTTGGAGGGCGACTGCTTCCAGGAGTAGTCGGCATCCTTCCCCCAATTAAGGGGGTCCTTCCCTGCCTTTCCATAGCAGGCTGCCTGGCATTTCCAGGAGAAGTCACGTCCCCAGCCGCCTGTTTTCTTATTTTTGGATCAGGATCGGACGAGGAGGAAGGACGAGGAACGATTCCCTACAAAATGCAGCACTCAAACAATAAGCCCCAAACAAGCGGCAAGCAATAAAAGAGTTGTGTTGAAATTGAACAAGACTCACCTTAGGCGCCTGTTTGGCAGGCGACTCCTCGGTTGTCCGCTTGCTCAGTATGGCGGCGCAGAGTAGGGCGGTTGCTTGCTTCGATGCCAAGATCTTTTCCATGGCTTGGTCTGCAAAATAATAAGATCAGTTAGACACAAATCAAAAATCAGCATAAGTATAGCAAGGCACATAAAGCAAACAGCCTGCTACCTCTCGGCATCTCAACGCTAAGGCCACAGGCGGCCAGGTATACCCCATCGTACAGCCACTTGTACTTTAGGATATAAAATTTAGGGATGAATTCCCTTAATCCTGTGTCTGGGTTGGCCTGTACGTAGACCTTGAAGAGTCCTTAGTCTAGGATCTCCTCCTTGGCCTTTTGAGGAACAGGCGGCAGGTGAGAGCCGTCTGTTAGGAAAGGTGGATTCCTGTTCCACCTATTAAATTTTTTGTTTTGGATTTTGTTGGGGCTAGAGACTATGAAGAAGGTGTTCCGCCAGTCCTTCCATTTGTTTTTCTTCCCCATAGTCATCAAGTAACCTTTATGGCTATTGATTTGGTACCAGCCGGTACCGCTTGATTTAGGGGTCCTGCTTAAGTAGTTCATATTGGCAAACGCTTCAAAACTGGCGTCCACCCCATTCATTTCGCAGGCGGCTACGCACCCCAAAATGTTAAACCAAGAGTTGGGGGCCAACTGCCAGAGGCCAAGCTGGTATCCGTCTAAAATCCTCTCTACAACCGGATGTAGAGGAAACCTTAAACCAGCCTTGATGGCCGCCCCATAGCAGACAAAGCACTCGTCCGCATAGCTAGCCGCCTCTGGCCAGACGACTGTATCCTCAGGATCCGGCACAGAAAGGATGTAGTCAAATAGTCGACCCTAAAGCTTGCAAGCTTGTCAAACATAGTCTTACGCCTGCCTGTCGGCACATGGCAGTAGTAGGCGGTATGCGACTCTCTTCGGGATGTAGCCGGATCCGCCCAGTCGTCCCCCTTATCAATCGCATGGCTTGCTCTCGCCTCATGAAGACGAGAGTGCTTTTCCTCGGAGTCGGCAGAGTACCGACTAGAGGTGCTGGTTTTTGAATCGCTAGAGCTCTCGGCCGGACCAGCCGCCTGCCCAGACAAATCTATTGATAGAGGCTCGTTCTCAACCTCCTCCCCGGATTCTCTCAAAATGGAATCACTAAGGGTACTAGGAGTACCAGGCGGCAGGTCCGAGAGCTCCTCCCGAGAGAAAAAGGAGTCGTCCGAGTTTGAATACCTTGTTGTTCTTTTGGTTCTGGCCATGGTGTCCTGCACAGACACAGAGACAGTCGGACTCCTAGTTCGCAAAGGGTGGTCCAGCAATGGGCAGTCGGCACTCCTAGTTCTAGATTCAACAGTCCCCGGTGACCGGCTGATCACTAACATAGGTCGTGTCGGGTGCTTTGAGGCTACCATTTTCTAAGAAAAAAGAAAAAACAAGGAAAAAATGCAAGAGAACAAGAGGTTACCTTGTAAAAAGTCTGGAACGTCTGAAAAGGTTAAAAAGCAGTCAGCCCGAGAGAGCAGTCGGTCTCTAGAACAGTCGTTCTTAGAAAATAGTCGGATGTCTCAAGGGTCAGAGCAAGCGTCCTCTTGGTTGTCTGAAAATTTTTGGAATCTTTCCAATGATTGGGACATCCCCTATTTATAGGGGGGTGAATTCCGAAGGTCACTAAAAAAAAAAAAGAAAACGGTAAAAAATTGTTAGCCAATCCTGGTGTGACATCTGTCACAGGCGCCACGTGACACGCCACGACACCCCTGTGAGGGGCAAATGATTAGGAGAATTTTTACCCCGCCACGTGGACCAATCAGGAGTTGCCATGTGGCATCCACGTGGACCAACCACATGCTGCCACGTGTTGCCACGTGGACCAATTAGAGCTTGTCACGTGTCACCTCGTAAGAGGTCTAGAGTGGACCAATCAGACCACGACGCGTGGCAGACTATCAGCCTGACAAGAAAGCAGCCTCTGACGGCCCATATTCCTAGGCAAGGGCCCAATCAGTCCTAGGTTTCATAAAACCTAGTGTTGGGCACAGTCTCTCAGACTATAAATAAGGTGTTTCTCCCAAGGAAACACCTATTCACAAATTTCTAAACACATTTACTCTCAGAGCAATTATACATTGTAGATTCTCTCTTGAAACCCAAGGGAGACTCTTTACTTTCCGCACTTAAACTCCTCAAACACGTTCTAACTTGACCGTCGGAGGCGGAACTCCCACCAACAGGAGTCTCCGTTATTTTGCAGGTAAAGGCGTCCAGAGGTCAGTCTTGGAATTGTAACACTCCCGCAGGACATCAAAAAAACCCTGAAACAACATTAATGAGTGTTTTTTTATTTAAAAAATTAAACTATGGTTAGACTTTTACTTTAAAAAAAAAAAAACAACCAGCCACCTTCACCCAGCCGTTGCCACCTCCTTCACAGTCAAACAGCCAGTGCGCCCCCTTCACCATCAACCAGCCGACGACACTAGCCGCCGCCGCAACCTTTACCTTCAACCTTCAACCAACCACCACCACCACCTCTACCCTCATTCTTACCCCAACCTTCAACCAGCCGCCACCACCACGTCTACCCTCATTCTTACCCCAAGCCAAAACCCCCCACCAGACCAAGACCCGACACCTCCTTCAGACCTAGAACTAGACCACCGCTCCTCCTTCCACCATAGCCCATAACCCTCCTTTTCTATCTCCTCTGAGTCTTCTCTCCGCCAACAACAACCTGAAACCACCCCACCTAGCTACCCAAATCTGAAAGTGATTTCGGTTCAGGTGGGGGTTACTGGGTTTGGTTTTCAAGCGAGGGTGGTTTCAATTCATCTAGTGGCGGGTGAGGGGGATGGGAAGGGGGCAGAAACTGGTCAAGATTTGGGGCGTTCGACGGTATAAAATGGTTGTGGGGTTTGGGTTCGGTGATCTAGGGGTTTGGGTTCGGCGATCTGGGGGTCTGGGGGTGGTCATCGTTCCAATTTCGGCAGTCTAGAGGTGGTCAGGCAGTAGGTCGCCAGCAGTGAAAGGGAAGGAGGATAGGGTGGCTGATTGGTGGAGATGGTGGTGTGGGTGGATGGGTTGGTGGTTGTTATTTTTTTAAAGTGTTATTTTTTAAAAAAAAAATTAACCATAGTTAATTTTAATTAACTATTTAATGAAATAATGTTATTAGGGGGATAAAATTCTTAACTAAGGTCATTTTGTATAATAAAAAAAAAGGGAGGTTACCATTGGTGCGTAGCAAAAGTTAGGGATTACCATTAAGAATTCCCCTTTCATTAAAAAAAAAATGCAATAATGGGGGAAATTAGCCACTCCATTGATAACCAATTAGAAAAACTCTTCACCCTACTGAAACAAACTCTGAAAATTTCCATGAAAAAAACCCATATCACTAGCTATATAATTCTTAGCTCTCTCCCTTTTCTCTTCCTTATGATTTACTTTGAAATACTTTTTGAAAAATCATTAACAAAAACTTTCAACTTCAAAACTCCTCTCTCATATTCCCAAAAGTTTAGGAAAATTTCTGAGGAGTTGATAGATTATCCATTTCCAGCTTTAATCTACCTCTTCCTCCTGCGCGTACTAGATTTCCTTGCTGCTACCCTGACCATTGTTCTGTCATCGAAGATGTACGAAGACAGTCCTGTGTCTGAAACCATCAGCCTCAAAGAATTGATCGTAAGACAATCCATCATCAGCAGCAGAGAAAGGTTGAAAGGCGCATTTGTTACATGTTTGTATGCTTTGTTTCTTTCCACTTGTCTTTCACTTGGATTCATTCTGCTAGTATTGAGCTACTACAGCTTTGGTTCAAACTGTTATTACCTGAATTTTACACTAGTCTATGTGCCTGTTTTTAATGGATTGTTGCCTAAGTACTTGGCATTGAATGCTGTTTGGAATACAAGTGTGGTGGTTTCGGTCTTGAAAGAGATTCATGGGATTGATGCGTTGAACCTTTCGTTTTACCTGTGCAAAGGGAATGAAAAGCTCGGAGGAAAATTGATGCTGGTTTTCCTTGTATGGGGTTTTGGTCTAAGGATTTCTTGCATGTTTTTTGATGATGGGAAGATTGGAGTTATAGGGAGAACTAGCTTGCTTTGGTTGGCGATTTTGATCAAGTGGATAGCGTGTGTTTTGTATTATCATCACTGTAAGGGGAGTAAGGCTTTAGGAAGATCGGTCACTTCTAACAATCGCTTTGATGACAAACACCCTCATGAAGAAGCTAAATTAACCACAATTATGGTTTCAGACGGCGGATTACAGACAATAAGAGCAGACGCCAATATTGCGGATGATTAAGATGAGGAAATCCCTCCAAGAAGTTGCTAAATTGGTGTATATTGTATCCCTTAATTACCTATCTAATCTCAAACGGAAATTAATTACAAATTATCTGTGGTTTATATTGTATCTTCTGGTATTATCTGTGGTATTAACAAGTGTCTTAGAGACTGAAAAGTTCAATGGTGCAAAAAAATAGAGATAAGGGGAGTATAAGTTTAGACATGTTCTTAGGGAAGCAAACTTGATAAACAGGTTATTTAGATAGATTTGATATTGCCATTATAGACAGATATAGAGATAATTAAGAAAGATAACAATCAGGAAAAATGAGTTAAGTTGCTAGTTTTTTTTTTTTTTTTTTTTTTTTTTTTTTGGTTTGAGACAAGTTAAGTTGCTAGTTTGCTACTGAAGAGAGGTCCAATTTGGGTAAAATTTAGGGAAAAAAAAAGGTATAGACAAGATATGAGAAATTTTAGACATGTAAATGTACTTTTATCTTTATTCAAAGGAAAACTCTAATTTAATCAATACGATTTGACTCTTGTATGTAGTTACCACTAGCTTCCAAGAAAAAGTTAATGTAAGATGGACAGCAGAAGTTATGTTATGGCAACATGCACTCCAAACACCATTCTTGGCAGCCACCACTTTCGACCACGCATGCTGCAAAAGTTCATAATCCATCACAAGCAACCATGATCTCAATTCCAGTCTCTGAGATTTTAACTCAAATGATGGGCCGATGCCTAAAAGCTGTCTAGGATCACCATTTTGCTATACTAGGTCACTAAGCAACAGGGATGCTGCAAGTCTACAACTCGAGAGAAAATGACAGAAACCCAGGGAGAAGCTCACCAACTATAAAGTATGGTATTATAACAAGTAAACATGAACACCAGAAAAAACATCCTTGTCCAGGTAGCAACCAAAAATGAGAACATATAATGGGAAAAATAAAGAAGATAACACTAGCAGTAATGACAGTCCTCAGCCTAATCTCCAGCTTTTTCTGAGAACAGCTAACGTTACTCGTTTTGTTTCTTCTAAGCCTGCAAAAATAAGGACAGTATTAGAAAAAAGGTACACAAATCACAGCTTTGCATACAGATTGATAGCAGATAGCAAGGCTTCAGTGATCAAAAGAGCATTTCACTCCAGGATACCAGAGTTCCAAAACAGTCAATAATATTGAATTACGGTAATCAGCCTGAAAAGCATCAAACACAGTATCAATATGCTAGAAACGCATCTGGCTCAAGGCTACAGACACTAATAGTACGTTCCTCCATCCCTCAGTCCTCAGCCTCTCCAGACACCGAGATGGAAGCAGGAGGTAGAAGAGAGTACAAGTGAGCTGTAGGATCAAACACATCATAAAGTGGTGGACACCTATCCACTAATAAGTTAGAACACGCATGCGTGCATAAAGCCATGTATAGTGAAAGTTGAAACCAACCTTGCTAGCGATGTTGTTTGAGAGCCAGTCCAGACCCTCGTAAAGTCCTTCTCCAGATGTGGCACATGTGCTCTGTATGTACCTATAATTACAGGAGCAGATAGAGATTAGTCAATACAGAGCAGGGCGTCTGTCAAATTAGTGAAAAAGTAACTAAAAAGAAGCAGAGAAATGCGACGACATGCAAGTCGGCTGAAGATAGAAGAAACCAAAGAGGCAGAGCTTACCAGTGACGTTGACGTAGAGAATGGAGGCCAAGCTTATCAGTAATCTCAGCAGCATTCATTGCATTTGGAAGATCTTGCTTGTTAGCAAACACCAACAAAACTGCATCCCGCAATTCATCCTACAAATATTCAAATGTGTAAGAAAGACCAATGCAATCAGGATTCACTCATTTTCAGTGGACTAACTTAATAAAAACACCCATTTGTACAGCTACAGAAAAACCAAGAAAGCCAGAGAATAAAAATCCACCTCGTTTAACATCCTATGCAGCTCGTCCCTAGCCTCAACAACACGGTCACGATCATTACTGTCAACCACAAAGATGAGCCCTTGGGTGTTTTGGAAGTAATGTCTCCACAATGGACGAATCTGAAATCATCAATAAAAATTTAGAGGGTAGGAACCAAAAAAGGGCATAATCCAATCACAGATGATACAAAAACAATAAGAAAACAATTTCAATCTTTTTCTTATGCTGCATACAAGTAGACAGGTACTAAAATGCCAATTTTTGGGTTTAGGGAAGTACACAAAATCATCAACAACAGAGTGAATGTATATCATAGGCCACATGGGATCAATAACCCACACAGAAATTAAGTATGCCACAGCCTAAAAATCTGGCATAACAATTAACAAATCGGTAAGCACTAGTATTTTCCCAAGCTCCTTAGTCCTGATGGTGGAGGCGAATAGGAAAGTAAGAGAAGAGAGTGATAAGACCTTAATTTGACCAGAGGACCCTTATATGCTCTCATATTTCATGTCATCTTGTGAGAAACAACAAAAAGATCAGGCTGTCCGATACGAAAATGTGGTAAGGGAAAACCCACCTTATACCATCTTTGAACAATCAATATTTTCTTCCCCTTGCCCCCTCCCCTGCCTCATTACTCTAGCTAGCTTATTGGAAATTTGGGCAAATTTAATCCGACAGCTTCACAAATAATCCTACACTGGCTCACTGTAAACATTAGCAACCATCCTTCTATATGACTAAAATTGTGATGGAATACATGTCTCCACAAATGATCACAGACAAAAAAATGCAAGTAAGCAAAGAGTACTAGGGCTGGAAAAAAGGGGGGAAAGGGAAAAGACAGAAGAGGCCAGCAGTCATACTATCTCTGTTATCTATTATTGGCCTTAACACCAGCTAGCAAGTCAAAAATGCACTTGGGTTCAAAATTAAGAATCAGCACATTAACATGATTAAAACTGTGCATGGCCACCAGCCCACCATGAATAATTGCTAACCTTCAACAATGAATTTAAAATTTTGTTCTATATATGGTAGTTACATGTTCTTGCATCAGGTATATAAGGGCTTGTTTGGAATAGTTTTTTGTTTTCAGTTGTCTTCATTTTTTTTTTTAATAAAAAACCAAAAATAGAAAGCTAGAAAAAGTTGTTTTCATTATTCAGTTGTCAATTTTCAAAATTATAATGATTTTAATATTTTAGACACATTTTTGCTTTATTTAATGACATATATGAAATGATTATAAAAACCAAAAAAACTACCGCGATACGAAATAAATACTAAACTTTGAATGATCCAGATTAACTCTTAGTTTGTCCGATTTACCTTTTAAAATAATTTTATCAAAAAAACAAAAATAATTAAAAAAAAATAATAAGAGAGATGAGATTAGGGTCAATAGGTTCAAATAAGGACTAAAATTCAGATAGAGGCTACTAAGTTCAGACAATAGTTTTTCAGGTGAAAAATTAGCCGCTGTTGATCAATCAGATACTAACCATGTGTTTGCTAAAGAATGTGAGGATGCTTTTAATGACAAATTTACACTCCCACTTCACCAAAGTCAAAGCGATCAGTTCCAAAAACATTTACATTTTTTCATAAGAGGCAAGAAGAGCAAAAACAATGAAACTGCTACTTTATCCCAGGCAACACTCATATCCTAGCCAATGTAAATTAGGAAATAACTAAACAAGAAATGACAAGGTAATAAATTTAATCCTGTTCAATCTCTCCCCTCAACTAATGTAGATGATCTGACCACATAAGCAAAAACATGGAGTCAAAATCATGACATTGAGGAACGGTTGCTATACCATTTGAGCATAACTTCAAAAGGTAATATTTAGGCCTCAAGGAAAAGTAAATTATAGATATGTCCATGCCATGCAAGAATTTAATATAAGACTTAAAAAATAGCAACACATGATGATATCAGATAAATAAAGTAGACAGGACTTGCCTTGTCTTGACCTCCGACATCCCACACGGTAAAGCTGATGTTCTTGTATTCCACAGTCTCCACATTAAATCCTGTAAACACATAAGAACAAGTTCCAAACACATTATACACAGCCGAGTATATGCAAAAAGCATCAACAAGTCCAAGACATAAGATCAGACCAATACCAAAAAACTAAACCAGATATGCCAGGATAGTTCTTTTTAGGAGTGTTACAAGGAGGACAAACAAAGGATAAAAAGTCACTTCTCTTTTATTACAAAAAATAAAGGGCAATATTTCCTTGCTCAAAATTTAGAAAAGCTATACATTTTAAATGTAAAAGATATGATCCTGAATCACAATAAAATACAGAACTTGTACACAGTAACCGTCAACAATAACGAGCAGTGTTGTGAAGGCAAATGGTTACATGAGTGTGGTGCTGGTTATTTAGCATTCCAGAAGCCATTTACCAGGCAAAGTCATTCAGTGAAGCTTGCAATAGAGGACTTAAAATTCCGAAAAAGTGGAAAAACGTCAAAAGTTTGCAGTGATTAGGCCACAATTTCATCACGAGGACTACACTAGTGAATGAAAGGGAAACCAGGGAAAATCTCTAAATTGATTTACCGTGTCTAAACATATCGAATATAGTAATATAAAGGGGAGACAATGACCAAAAGCAAACACGCTAGTCATGGCAGGTCAAGTATTTTATGAGCATAGTACTACTGCATAATCATCACAATACCGAAAGAAATTCAATATGAACAGAATCCACAATATAATCATCAAAAGTTCGAAATTAAAAAATCTAGAGACATACCGATGGTGGGAATGGTGGTGACAATCTCTCCCAGCTTAAGCTTGTAAAGAATTGTAGTTTTACCAGCCGCATCGAGACCCACCATAAGGATTCGCATTTCCTTCTTGGCAAATAACCGGCTGAACAATTTGGTAAATGATAGCCCCATATTTCACCTAACAGATCCAATCGCAGCTCATCAAACACATTTTCCCAACAAATCCAAAGTCCATTAATCAAATCAATCACAGTTCTCTTCTAATTTATTCAATTACAAAATTTCACGATTGCGATTACAAAAATTAAAATCAACAATAATTCCAAAGTCAGCGATTAACCTAAGCAACAAAATTCAATCAAGCAAACCACAATTCAAATACAGATTGCATCAAATAATCGAGATATTAATAATCGCACAGAATCTCACCGAAATATCCAATCACAAATCAAACAACCAGAATAAAAAACTATATACTTGAAAAAATTGAAATCGAAAAGCGATAACAAATCGCGATTCCACAAACAAACAAACAATAAAGTACTGTAC